AATTGCAATGAGGTTAAAGGGTAAGAACAAAATGCCAGAAGGATGTAGTTAATCGAAACTCTATCTAATTTTTATTGTGTTTTGCTACCAATTCTGGTGAGATTTTATGTGCCACCTCTGACAGAAAATGGCAGAAATTAATTATATTCAGTTCTGTGTTTCCACAATTTGTTCATGTCTTTGTTTTAGCACTTCCATATCATATTGTGATTAATCAAATTATATCTGTCTTCTGCACCAGGCTGCTGATCTTTGAGGGTGGCAATAGTCCACTTATCTCCTGGATACCAGCACCTGATACAGACATGGCTCATAGCACATGCTTTTTTTATTTTTATGATTTATTTGTTTGTTTGAGAGGAAGAGTTACAGACAGAAAGAAGGAGGGACAGAGAGAGAGGTCTTCTATTTGCTGGTTCAATTCCCAAATAGCCACAACAGCTAGAGCTGGGCTGGCCCAAAGCCAAGAGCCAGGAACTTCTTGGTCTCTCATGTGGATACAGTGGCCCAAGAACTGGGATAATCTTCCATAGCTTTCCCAGGCCATTAGCAGGGAGCTTGATTGGAAGTGGGGCAGCCAAGACTTGAACTGGCACTCATATGGCCTGCTGGTGCTGTAGGCAGAGGGTTAGCCTTCCACACTGTAGTGCACATCTGAGCACATATTTAACATTTGATTCTTTAAAATTTTTTTTAAATATTTACTTTATTTATTTGAAAGACAGAGTTACAGAGAGAGGTAGAGACAGAGAGCAAAAAAGAGGTCTTCCATCTGCTGGTTCATTCCCCAAATGGCTGCAACGGCCAGAGCTGAGCCCATCCATAGCCAGGAGCCAGGAGCTTCTTCCAGGTCTCCAATGTGGGTGCAGGGGACCAAGGACTCGGGTCATCTTCCACTGCTTTTGCAGGCCATAGCAGAGAGCTGGATCAGAAGTGGAGCAGCCAGGACTCAAACTGGCGCCCATGTGGGATGCTAGTGCTGCAGGCCAAGGCTTTGACACACTGCGCCACAGTACCGGCCTTAACATTTGATTCTTGTAGAATGAGAATTCATGCTCATAAAAGTCAGTGTAAAATAGCCATTGATTGCTGCCAGTTAGTGGTGGCTTTAAGGTATGCCGATTACCCCAGTGTGATAATTACCCATATATTGAAATGTCACACAGTGGCTGGTGTGTTGTGGCACAGTGGGTTAAGCTCCTGCTTAGGATGCCTGCATCTTATATGGAGTTCCTGGTTCAAGTCCTGGGTACTTCTAAACCAGTTTCCTCCTAATGTACCTGGTGAATTAGCAATGATGGCTTAAGTGCTTGATTCCCTGTCACCTATGTGGGAGACCTGGATGGAGCTCCTGGCTCCTGCCTTCAGCCTTGCCTAGCCCCAGCTGAAGTGGGTATTTGGGAAATGAACCAGGGGATCGAAAATCTCCTTCCTTCTTTCTCTATTACTTTGTCTTTCAAGTAAATAAATAAATCTTTTTTTTTTTAAAAGTCATGCTGTACTTGAAAAATATGTGCAATTCCTAGGAAAGGAAACCAGCCCCATTACAGAGAAACAAATTTAGAAAGAGAGGATTCCACAGGTGTAATTTTAGTTGCAATGGGGGAGGAAACTGATACATGATCTATTCTCTATGACCAAGAGGCAGATTTACTGGGTAATACGCACAGATAACGTTATATGGCATTTTTGGTTAAAGGTAGGTGTGAATAAGATAAAAGAGCAATGGATATTGTTTCAGTGGCTCACTGGTGGAGGCTCCGGAGTGGATCAGGCCTGCTTTTCCCGTGGAGGCTGAGTCCTTTCAATAGGCAGCAAAGATGAGGCAGTTGGAGCAAGAATCAGTTGTGGGTTTGTCCCATATCCAGAATTCCCTGGGGTCTTAGAACTACTGGTGTCAGGCTGGGCTGGCATTGGCCTGGGAAGCCCGTGTGGGAACCCCTCACTCAGAAGGGACTCAGCTTGTGCCCACCATTCCGTATTTCTTTCTGACCCATCTGTTTTTGCATCATGTCATACTCCATGGCATGATAATACATGTCCTGCCAGGTTGTGCCATTGGTATGGTATTGAAAACCTGCTCCAGGCAGTGAGATAGAGATGTTCACAGATTCCAAACAAACTGACTCAAACTAGTCCATTTGCTTCCAGCTGCACTACTAGACCCAACATCACCTACCTTTATTTATTTATTTATGAGATTTATTTATTTGAAAGGTAAAGTGTCAGACAAGCAGGGATGTGAGGGAGGGAGGAAGGGAGGGAGAGAGAGAAAAAAAGAGAGAGAGAGAGGGAGGGAGGGAGGGAGAAGGGAGTTATCTTCTATCTGCTAGCTCACACCCCAAATACCTGCCAGGACTGGGACAAGCTGAAACCAGGAGCAAGGAACTCCATGTGGGTCTCCCACATGGGTGGCAGGGTCCCAAATACTTGGACTATTTCTGTTGTTTTCCCATGAGCATTGGCAGGGAACTGGATAGGAAGTGGAACAGCCAATTCTCAAACTGGTGCTCATATGAGATGCAGGCATTTGCAGGCAGTGGCTTAACCCCCTGCTCTGCATGTTGGCCATGATTTATTTATATATTTAATTTTGGGAGGGGGAGGAGGGATAGAGAGAGTTTTTTCTGTTAGTTCACTCCCTAAAGTTCCTCAGTGGCTGGGGCTGGGACAAACCAAATCTGAGAGCCAGGAACTCAACCCAGGCCTCACATGCCGGTGACAGGAACCCAAGTCCTTGGGCCGTCACCTGCTACCTCCCAGGGAGTTAATTAGCAGGAAGATTGGAACTGGGAGTGGAGTTGGGAATTGAACCGAGGCACTCTGACATGGGATGTGAGCTTTCCAAGTAGCATATCAACCACTGTACCAAATGCCCTCTCCTCAACCTGTCTGTGTTCATGAGCACTCGCTATGTGCCACGTGATGCTCTTTATTGGAATTGCTTTTTATTCTTCCAAAGGAGTATGTCAGGGAGAGGCACCCCAATTCCTTTAGGAGATTGGTAAAATGAGAACAAGCATTTCTCCAAAGGATAGGATGGTAAGAAGCTAGAAAGGCCTCTGTTTGTGTGGCTAGATGCTAGTGGCAGATTCACTTTCGAAGCTCACTTAAGCATATGCAGAGTGAAATGACAGTAAGGGACACTTAAGCAGGAGAAAAAGCTTATGATTTATGTGTTTTTCTCTTCCCATTTAAATAGTGCAGATAGTGATCAGGATGGAAGCCATGCAGGGAAAACCTGGTCTGAAATGTCATTTAACTCATCTCTTTAGAGCCATGCAGTGTGGTTACAAGATACGCTGAAATAGAAATTTAATGCTACTGTATTCTGTGATATATTTACATGGTGGTTTTGTAGTCTGTGCATGTGCCACATGTTTATTACCAAATAAGCTCTATATTCATCCTTGTTGATTCAATCAAGGACTGACATGCTGACATTGAAACGATGGAGCAAGATTATATCTCATAGTAAAACATGCAGGATAGAAAATGGAAACTCAGAGGTAAATACTGGTATCTACGAATAAAGAAGCAATTTTCAGCTTGCTGTACATGGTTCTGAAGGAGCCTATCACGTTTATATCTGTGTATGTTATTTCTCACTATAAAACTAGCAAATGCTTGTTTAATGCCTTCAGATGAGGGTGATGTTTCACTGAGGATTTGATTCTTCCACGGAAGCCAAGAATAACAAGAAGAAACCAAATGCATCAAATTACTGCCTTCATTGATTGCAAATACCCTTTTTCCCCCCTCAAAAGAAGGCTTCTGGTTGTTGCAACCCTAGTATCAAAGGCATGATGCATTCAGAGCTGTCATTTGTGGTATTTGCCTCCAAATTATGTATGTCAGGATGTGAATGGAAACACCGGCTCTCTGAGCAGTGCACATTCAGGTTCCATGTGTGAACTGAAGCATGCCCCCTGCCCCAAGTGGCTTTCTTTCTCTCCATTAACCTCTCCTCTTTCTTCAGAGTTACCTACAAAGAAATGAAATGGATTTGATGTTAAAGTGGTGGGAATTTACATGCTTTTCATTTTCGGTGTGGAAAGATTTCTTTCCCAGACAAAAAGATTGGCTGTTGCCTGTATCTGTGGGCTTGAGGGAGCTGATGAACAGTCCATGGATTATACAAACATAACTGCATTTCCATTATCTTCCCCCTCCCCCAAATTGCAGCCTGCCTGTGGAACTGCCACGCAGAGAGCAAGCACTCAGTTAAAACTGTCTCCTTTTTTTGTGAAATCTTTTTCAAAAGGGCCATGATTCTTCATATGCAGCAGAAAAAAAAAAAAAAATGCCCAGGCTCAATGCACATAAGGAAATCGCAACCTCGGTCTCTCCGTTCTCGTCCCCGCCTCTTTTCCTTTTCCTTCCACCCTTTTACTGCATTGCAGTCCTGAAAAGCTCGCGGAGCCGGAACCAGCGGCTGGGGGGCGGAAACTGCGTGCGGAATACTGTGCCTCTTTCATAGCCAAACCCCAGCTTCTCCCTGGAGGTCATCTTTGACACCGTGTTTCCGTTTTATGGTGCTGCTTTTGATAAGGAGAATACAGACACATTGCTGAGATGTGTGCAGCATGACAGTTTCACGAGAAGAAGAGAGAAACCCAGAGGTTATTCAGTCACCTAGTGGTCTCCTGCAACTGCGCAGTTTGGGCAGAGCTGGTGGGAGAAAGAACATTTCAGTTCATGATGATGGATAATCAAGCTGTATTGGCTTGATTAATTTGGTTAATTGTCCTTGAAAAATACATTGAATGCAATAGAGAATGTGTTAGCTGCCCTGCTTTCTCTCTCTCTCAAAATTTAATTTTATTATGAAATAATATCAGAATTTGCAGTAATTTTGCCTGGGTTCTTTTTGACAACATACATCTGTAAGCTCTTCATCCACTTTGCTTGGGTTCCTGGGACCGTGTGGGGGAGGGGTAGTTCTCTGCTTGGACAGGGCCCCCCCCCCCCCCCCCCCCCCCCCCGCCCCAGGGCTCACATTTTCCAGGTTGTTGAAGGAGAGGTGTTCTGTGTTTTGCCATGTTATGATTCTTGTGAGTCTAGGTAAATTGGGATCTTAATTCTGGTTAATATGACTATGCTTGACAGCACTGACTGTATTTTCAGCTTTTTCTTGTAACACGAGCGAGCAAGGTGCAAGTGGCTGGCTGACTGATGGCAAGGAGGTCGGGTAGATCACACTGAGCTGACAGTCACACTGACAAGTGTGCACCCATCTAGCCAAATGAGATGCTTTGGGTCCTCTCCCTCTAAGGCTGACATGTGGGAGCTAAGATAACACAATTTCCAGGGCAGTAAATCCTAGTACCTCCAAACCTTGAGACACATCTCCCCCTGCCTCCATTTCCTCTGTGAGAATTCACTGTGACAAAGATTGGCCTCTGGAAGCTCCGTGGGAATGAGAAAGCCCCTTATTTCTTGGTGGGGTTTGGAAGGCATTGTACCCCATGAACATCATCTGGAAGGGGTGTGGCTATCTGGACATTGAGAAAATTTCCTCTGAGGATGTGAGGTGTTTGGTTTCTTAGAATTCTATGCTTGAGTGATTTTCTTTTTCCATTTCCCCCGTCTTTTAATGTGTTCACTTTGCTTATTCTGCTTTCGTATGCAGCTTAATAAACCAATTAATTTGGTATCTAGCTTTGCCTCACTTGGCTTGTTATTTGATTAAAGGGTAAAAGCACTTACTTCTCTTGGAAAAATCATTATTCTTGAAATTGTTGAAATCAGCTCCAGGTACTGAAGAAACTGGGCCACCCCACCTAGCCCAGTCAGGGCGACAAGAACCTTGTCCTCGTCCTGGGAAAGTTTCTCAGACTGGGCCTCCTAGGCAGCCTAGGCAAACTCTTATCACTAGTGAGGGAGCACAAACTACAGTGGGCCCACTGGATACCATCCACAGAAAGGTTGATTGTCCAGGTAGTGGGACCCTAAGCGAATCCCTTGGGGTGGCTATAGGGCCCAGTGGGTAAAACACCCACATCCTGTATTGAACTACCTGGGTTTCATTTCTTGCTCCAGCTCCTGAATCCAGCCTTTTTGTTAATACAGACCTTGTGATGCTCAAGTGATCAGATTTCTGCTACCCACGTGGGAGAACTGGATTGAATTTCTGGCTTCTGGCTTCAGTCCTGGCCCAGCCCCAGTTGTTGTGGGCATTTGAGGTGTGAACCAGGGGATGGGAGCTTCCTCTCCACCTACTCCCCTGCCCTACGTTAAAAAAAGAAAAAGAGTTCCTTTGCTGTCTGAGCCTTGGTTTCCCAATCTAGTTGAGATAACAACAGTTAACCTCTTCATCTTCTGAGGGTTATGGTAATAATTAAGTGGGGTAATGCATGTGAAATACTTTCTATTACAGAACTACCTCTCCAAATAGAAGCATTGTTGTTGTTGTTTAAAGAAATGAATGTTCACCTTCTTACTTCCACATCATTGTAAACGTATTTGAACCACCTGTGTAGGCTGGAGCTGCCCCCAAATTCTTTCAAGTAGGTATCAGAAGAGTAAATAAAATATTTGGATTGTTGTCTGTCTTTTTCACTAGGTATTAACTCCAAGAGAGAAAGTACTGCATTGTTTTGCTCAGCCCTATTACCTTGTAGCCTAGTGCTAAATGCAACGTAGGCATACAGCAAATATTTGTTGAGTAAACTCAGAAAGCTCATGATTCTACTTGCTGAGTGTAAGGATGCCTCCTCTGTGGTTCTTCCATTTCTCTCTTCCTGTAAGTGCTCCTTTCCAGGGATTGTGAAGATGTGACAATATTTTGGCAGGTGTGAGTTTTTATCTGGAATAGTGTAATGATTTTACATTTGAGCAAAATATATATTCTCCTGTTCCAGTATAACTTGATTTTCTTAGTACCTATAGTTCTTTTAGGAAAGCAGGCCAAACGCCTTTACTAAATTAGTTGCTAAAAAAAAATGCTTCAAGAAATTAAATAATTGAATGTTTTTATACTTGTTATTGAAACCAGACCTCCAGCTAAGAACACTTGCTTGTTTCATTGCTGATCTCTCATTTGAAGCTGGTTGAAGTGAAGCCTAGATTGCTTTTGAAGGTGACAATTAACCTCAAGTCATGAATCTGAGAAGAAAATGATACAATGCTCATTTCATTTCAGTGTGTTCTCAGAACTTCTGGAGACCTGTGTAATGGACTGTGGTTTATAAATGTGGTACATTGATGAGTTGGTGGATTTAAAAAATAGTTGTTTTCATTAATATTTTATGATTTAGTTTATGTTGAGATCTGAGTAAGTTGTACAGTGTTTTGAGCTGTGGAATTAATGTAATGTGTTGAAAATTGTTGGCTTTTTCTGCCTTTCACTGACTTAGTATATAATCCTATAGAGAGCTTTGTGATTTTTGTGTGTGTATAATAGGCAGCACTTTCTATCTGATTTTTTGGAGGACTGCTGAGATGATAGTAATTTGCTACTTTTAAAAAATGTAAACATAGCTAAATGAATGACGTTTGGTTTGTGACCCCCAGCCACAAGCTTGAGTAGAGTAATATTCTGCATTGGAGGATGGTTGGTGGGTTAGCTAACACCTCCCTGATTTTCTGGGTCTCTCCAGGCACAAAGTGAACCCCACTGTTCAGGTGATCACTCTGCCAGCAACCAGGAAGGATTATGATGACCTGGAGGGCTTAAGGCAATAAAGGTATCCACTGAGAATAATTGAACCTATACTGTGAAGTATGGGTTGTATGGACGTTATGTGTGCTATTGGTTTAAATGCAATAATATTAAACCAAAACATCAAATGGTTTACCAGGTCACTCAGCTCTGGAATTGTTTCTGTTAGGGACTGGTTCGGATTCCACCCATCTGGTAGTTGTTCAGTTTCTCCACAGCCTTTCTCTTCTGTTCTTCTGTTCCTGTCCCATTTGTTTGTGCTGGCATCAGAGCTATCTTGTCACCAGCATGCCTTTTACAGAGGATTTTCATTGTTTGAAACAGCAGTTACTTGAAGTTCAGATGTGCCTGCATCATCTGTATTGTTTCTGTGGATTCCTTCTTCTAATATACTGCAGTGTGTTTATCTCCGCTGTTACTTGGACATGACTTTTCTGTCTCTTTCCCTAACTTTTTATGTTTTCTTTCCATTTCCATCTGAGTCATTCTCTTGTTCTCAGGCTTTGTAGCAGAAAGAGTAATTTCCACAATGGGTCTGAGCTGAGTGTGGGTGTCTTCACTGGTTAGAGATGTAGACATCACTGCATTTTGGCATGTAATATTTCCATGCAAATAAAATAATGAACACAGACATGCAGTTCAATATTCCACTTTGCTCCATGAGTATAGCTTTTTCATAATAAGTGCTTTTTAAATGCTTTGCTAGTTTGGAGGATTTTCTTCCAGAAATAACTGCTTTCTGTGATCAAAAATAGATGTTGATTTACAGAGACTTTGAAAGGCTGTGTTCTAAGTGAGAATACAAATATGTTGTGTTCATGTTGGAATCCTCAGCCCTTTGCTTTAGTGTGGTCTCCAGAAGCATAAAATAGGCTTAATGTGAGAAGTCAATTGAGAACATGTGTTCTCTGTTAATTGTATGTTTATGAATAGACTCCAAATAAAACGTTAGGTTTTCTTTTCCAAATTGCTCACCTTAAATTTAAATTAAAAGAATAGCTTTAAAAAACCCTTTACTTTGAAGTAATTTTAAATTTATAGAAGCCTGGAAAAGATAGTGCAGAGTTTCCGTATACCCTTCACCTCATTTTACCTGATAGTCTCATCTTACATAATCATGGTTACTTATTAAGCTGAGAAATCACCATACTAATAATTAAACAACAAACTTTATTTGGATTTCACAAAATTTTCTTCCTGCAAAGACAATTTTTATTTATGGAGTACAGCTTTGTTAAGAAAATTCCATGAAATTATGCATTTAAGAGATTTGGCAGTCTAAAGTAGAAATTTGGAGAAGTTTTTCAGGGAAAGTTGATGAAGAATGTTAAATAATTTTCAGAATGAAATGTTAAAGAAATATGACATTTCATTTTGGTGTACAGAGTTGATTCTTGTGACCAGCTTGTGTAATAAATATGGTATTATTTCTATGGCTACTTTTTTTCAAATGAATTTGCATTGCAGTTTCACTTTTCTTAAAAATCAGGAGTGAAGATATCGGCAAATGTCTATAGCAATTTTTCCTTTTACCGTGCAATATTTAAATTTAATGACTCCCTCACAAGCTTGCTCTTGTAGACATAATGAATTTTGTATGATGTGGAAAACACTACCAGTTTTGATGAGAACTAGAATAATTTTTAAAGAGTGCAGAAAAAGCACAACCAGCAATTTGGTGAATTAATAGATGAATCAATCTGATGAATACATTGAAGTAAAGACAAAATGTGGGGGCAATAACATAATTATTTAATTTCATTTTCTTCATAAAAAGAAATTATGGTGAACAATCTTATTCTTTCATTTTATTGATAGCTTAGCAGCAATAATAGATTTGAAGACTATTGTTTTCGGTCCACTTTGCTCCTTTGTGTGTGGTGCAGGAGTGGTACCTGGAGATCACTGACTTTTCAAATATTGTTTTTGTAAATATCTGAGCACCAGGCTAAATCAAACAGAAAGCAAATACGTGCAGCATTGAAAAGAAATGGAAAAAATGACTTTCTGACTTCCAAATGCTTTTAACGACTGAATACATGAGAGGTTTGGAGATTTGGTTTTGGGGGCTTCTGGCTGATAGCATTTAAGGGCTTTGCTCTCATCTTTTATCTACAAAGCAAATACTATATAGCCATATTGATAGTAAAGTAAAATTTAGATATATACATTTAAGCACTTTCTGAGCTTTAACCCTAGGAGATACTCTGGTGTTGCGATTTTCAACAAGAGATTTAAAATGTAAATGCTGGAAAGGATTCTCAGGAAGATGAAAGTGAGGGTTATCAGTGCAAATCTAAGGGGCACAGACTAAAAAAGTGGTGCCTGAACTTTTATTGAATCTGGCAAAGACAACTTTAAAATTGAAATTAGATTTCTTCATCTGCAGATGAGATGCGTCAAGGAGAGGTTTACAGGAAAAGCATCTTTTTCTATCACTTCCCATAAAGTCTCATTCCCGAAGGTAAATTTTAAAGGATGGCACCAATGATCACTGTTGTTCGGGCCAAATTCTAATTTAGGTATTTTTACTAGGCTTTCTGGGGTGCCACAGAGAGTGTTTGGCCTTAAATCTCTTGCTATTCCCGGAAGGGAAACCTATTTAAAAGAACTGTTGATTATGAAAGGCTGGCTTATGTATTGATTTTTATGTAGGCCAGTGTTGTGGAAAGATTTAAACAAAGAGGTGGAAGCAGGGGAGTTCTCTGAGCCTTCCCTTATTTGGATCAGCTCTGTTGGACTGGTTACCAGCATAGTGAGGCCACAGAGCAAGGGAAGAACGCTTTCCAAGGTCTTTCAAATGCATTTTTTGTCTTTATAGCTGGAAGTTCTCTGTAGTACACAACTGCCTCTTTGAAATTTCAAAGCCTGTTGCTGTGGTCAAGGAGACCTACTGTGTAGACACTTGCTGCTGATAGCGGGTGATAGGTGCTATATAGCGGCTGTCTGTTTTGGTTAGTATTGTATTTATTTGTACAGAATCTGGAGAAACTTATCAACTTTTCAAGGATGGGCCAACAGGGGGTTTGTTATTCATTTAGACATAATAACAGCTCCTCTTTGACTCACCTAAATATGCTTAAGTTTATATCACAGATATGATGGTGTTCATTCCAGATGTAATCCAATTTGAATTCTAAACTCCTAGTGATATTAATTGCTTTATTTTCCTTTGCTGATGTTAGTTGGGACTTCATCATATTTGCTTCTGTGAGTATTGGAGTCAACCTGGAAACTTCAGGGTACCGCCAAGAGAGGGATGGTACTGGAGAGACTGATTGTAACACTCCCAGTTACCTGTACTCCCAGATGTGCTTCTCTTCCCTAGGTGGAGAGGGTATAGCATCCCTCAGTTACCTGAGTTTAGGGATACCACAAATTAACCTTGGAAAATAAAATCATCGAGGTCTGACTAGTTGATGAAATGATTACAATTATGGACCACAGACGTGTTTCTAGGGTTTGCTAATTCCTGTGTGATGTTGTGTGATTGCATTAAGAATGAAATAGAACTTGGTGGCCAACAGCTATTAATCTGGAACTTGCTAGCTTTGTACCAAGACCTATCTTAGTCCCAACCTTCAGCACACTTTCATTCATGAGGGAGATAGAATTTTACTCTATAAGAAAGGATGGTAGAAAGCACAAAATATCAAAATGTGGCAGAACACAATGTGAAGGTGTTTTCTTGATGTAGATATTAGTTATTGCTGCGTAACACATTACTCCAAAACATAGTATTTTAAAATAGCAAACGTGCATTATCTCACAGTGTCTGTGGGTCAGGAGTCCAGTCATGGATAATCTGCCTCTGCCTCAGTTTCCCTCATGAGGGTTGCTTTCAAAACACTGACTGGAAATGCAGTCTCATCTACAGAGTCAGCAGGGAGGGGATCTACTCATGTGATTGTTGATAGAGTCGATCCTCCTGCCTTCTCTTGTCATATTAACCTCCCTGTAAGGCTGCTAATGGCATGGCATCTGATTGTTCACAGAGTGAGTCCAGGAGTGAGTAAAAGAGGGCATGCAAGAAGGAAGATTCTGACCCATTACAGCTTAATCTCAGGGAGGAAAGAATCACTAAGGGTCATTGCGGAGGTCAACCACCACAGTATACTCAGCTTTTCCTATTTCAAAGAGAAATGAAACAACTGTCAGTTTTTAATATATAATTATATTTTAGCCAGAAATGTACTACTGTTAAGATTTTAAAACATTTACTTATTTTCATTTTATTTGAAAGCCACAAAGACAGAGGCAGACAGAGAAAATCGTTCATCCAAAGGTTTAGTCCCTAAGTGTCCTTTACAGCAGGGGGTGGGACAGGTCAAAGCCAGGAACTAGGAATTCAGTTCAGGTCTACTACATGAGTGGCAAGGACACAAGTACTTGAGCCATCATTTTCTGCCTCCCAGGGTGTGCACTAGCAGGAAATTGGAATCAGAAGCCTAGCTGGGATTTGAACCTAGGCACTCTAATATGGGATTTAGGCATCCCAAATGATGTCTTAACTTCTATGCTAAATCCTTCCCCCACCTGTTAGTTATACTCATATAAATGGGGCTGGGATTGTGATACATTGTGATACCAACATCCTTTATAGGTGCTCGTTCCTGTTCCAGCTGTTCCACTTCTGATCCAACTCCCTGCTAATGGCCTGGGAAAAGCAGTGGATGATGGCCCAAGTATTTGAGCCCCTGCCACTATGTGGGACACCTGGGTGAAGCTCCTGGGCCCTGACTTTGGCCTGACTACATGGGGAGTGAGCCAGTGGATGGAAGATCTCTGTCTCTTTCCATCTCTCCTTCTCTCTCTGTAGCTCTTTCAAGCAAATAAATAAATTTTTTTAAAAAGGAAATGCTATCTCTTTAGTAAGCTTACTGGAGATGATATGGCTAATCTAGTAGAGTATACTCTTATAATTGTATTTGAGATCTTTCTGTTCCTCCCAGTAAATATTTTCTCTTTCACTAATGTCTATGGCCTGCTCCTTAGTCTAAAGCCTGTGTTTCTAATCCATTGTGT